ATATATATATATATATATAATGTTTTTACAACATCTTAATTTTTAATCTTAAAATTATTGGGTTGGGGAAAGTCTTTTTACATATATGTAAAAAGACTTTTTCTCCAATCTAATATAAAAATGATATTTACATAATGTAAATTTTATATTTTTTTTAAAAACAATCTTACATTAATAAATTTTATTATTTTTACATTAATTAGTCATATTTTTTACATTAATTAACCATTATTATATTTTTGACAAAATCAAAATTATAAGTTTATTGGCTCATTGTCCTGTTTCTCTATATTAGTTGTTAAAAATATTGAGCCTTATTACAAACATTTTAAAATTATAAGATTGAAAAAAATTTGCTAATAAAATATTGAAAATATATATTGGTGAGCTATGTATGCTTGGATACATTTTCAGTTTTTGATTTCAAGTTTTGTGAAGGTATGCTTTAAAAGTACATATATTAGCACAAAGCAATGTGATATTAAAAAAAATATCCGTTGGTTTGATTTCAAACAATATGAAACAATGTTTAGCTGTCTTTTGCGAAAAACATAACATAATTTTACTTTACGTGATAATGTGTAGGTGGTACAGGTATGAAAAGTTTTATGCAGAAAATTAAAAGAAACATAATATGCTAAACGTTAGATTATGACCAAAAAATAGATATTAAATAAAAACAATTATTTCTGTTTATTATGGCTGATAATTTTTATAAATGATAAAATGCACTTTTCTTACCTCAATAATTTCATATGTTGTCGTACACACGCAGTGATGTCATAAATGTCGGTGACCATACGAAATTGTTCGGACAAGATTTCAAAACGTGCTGCGACAAACCATATGAGAAGACCGACAAAACTACCAATACAAACGATGGAGAAGCACTGCCAAATAGCGACAAACTGATGCAAAAAGATGATAGTCTTTACTGGTTCATATTCTACGTCGAAAGGATATTTTGCATCTGTTGGAAAAATCTGATCGGCCGCTATGAATGGTACTGTTGCTGTTATACTCGCACCGAGAAAAACTGCCGTTGTGAAGCTTACGTAAAATATCGCGCATCTATCAACGTATTGTTGGTAGAGCTTTTTCTCGTAAGACTTCGCATACTTGATATTATGCTCCATTTCCGAAATTAAATACTAAAATTTTTAATTACGTAATACAATAACACATAGTTTATACCTGTGCTATGAATAAATGAACAAAAGCGTTGATTGAATTAGGTTTTGAAAAGTGAGTAATATTTGTGAAGATAATCTTGCTCCGGATAAACAAAATAGATAAAAAGATTAGATTTGTAAAATAGTATTTTTATTTTTATAGCCTTGATCAATAACATTAAAAGCCAGCTATTTAATTTATTAATATATCTATAAAATTAATATAAAATATGCTAAAAATTAATTGTCGAAGGTCGATCTGTGTATCGAGATGTTGATATCGCAATAAAAATACATTTAATTTTCTTACTTGCAATCGGTCATATTGCAGTGCGCATTGTGTTATCTCCAGAGGGATTTGTATAAACGCGCCCAATAAACACCATAACTTCGTTATCCTTGCTAGATTGTAATCATTACGATAAAGGGTGTATGCTGTCGGTATACTCAATATCACTGCATTTATACAGAGTAAAGTGCGTAAAATTTTGAAGCGTATTACTTGAAATTTACTAGCGTTCTTTGAGAGCGGCCACGAAAAGGATAAAGCAATTATTACTTTTATAAATGTGATTGCAGTTTTGGGAGTTATTTTTATGGCCATAATTTTATCAAAGAATTCATCGAAAATATATTTAAAATCTATATCCGCGCTTATGGCGTTTTCTCGTGCTATGTCGATTCAAATAAAATGTTACAATCATTTTTCCTCGCTTCATAACGCGTAAATATTTGATGTGTAATAGCGTAATCAAATCATACATTTTCCAATACATGCACAATACTGTGGAAGACTGTAATTTACATGTAGCACGTTAGCTTACTCGATTGCTGTAGGGGTGCTGTGAATAGAACAGTTTTATGAAAGAAATTTTATATCACACGCAATGTATATATAATACGAAAGGGAAGTACAGCAAAATTCTCATACCTATAAGAAATTGTTATACATGATGATAAAAATCTATTAAATTTTCAATATGCAATTTCATCTAGGAAACCAAATAACATAAATTCTTAGAAGTACGAAGGGTACTTCAACATTGTACATATCTTATCACCTTTTGAAGATGTGTATCGTGTGTAGACTTTATTAGTATTAATAGTCTATACTAAACGTACAAAAATTTAATAATCCTGTAAATTATATATATGCACTCGACAACGTTTCTCTAAGAATTCGAAACAAGAAAGCACGATGAATGTTTGTATATATATTAAGCTTATACTTTATATTGCATTTATTTATATTTTAACTTCGTACACTTTTCTCTGACAGAAAGTCGTGTATAGGAGTGTCTTCTGGTAAAGTTGCAAGAGAGAAAAGAAAAAATGTGTTTTATGAATTACACGTTGGATTGTTTTTTGTAAAACATAAGTAAGTATGTTTTACATTCTCCTTAGTGACGTTGGCTAATGAAGTAATATAATGTCATGCCATAAAGACCGGAGCATAGATAGACTTTTATATAACGCATAATGTGTAAGAAAATCAAGCAAAATCAGATTTTATTTGATAGAAAGGGAGAAATTGAATTTCGATTGGTGTTTTTCCTTGCGTTATGCCTTATATGTTATGCAAAATTCGATACTCTCCTTTAGGCTAATTCTACAATGTGCTTTTTGTTTTCCGTTTCTTGCTGTTTATCTCTGTTTGTTTCTTGGCTTTTTAACCAAAAAGGCAAGAAACAAACAGCAAGAAACAGGAAATAAAAAGCACATTGTAGAATTAGCTTTATTGTTGCTTCTATTGAACTTCGCAGTAGATTTATCAATTTTTTTCAAGAAAACACATATTCAAAACCACCGTGTAACGTAGACTGCACCCGCGCATGCTTCGTTATTTGGACGTATATACAATATATAATTATTTTATTTTGTGAAAGGAAAAATGAAAATATCATACTCAAAATTTCTTCATATATATTACAATATGTATAACGCTGGACTGTATTAATATTTTTAAAAGGGTGCAATTTGTGATATGATAAAATAAAATTAATTTTAAGTAAAATTGATTTGGAAAGGACGAAAATAAAAATTAATGCAAGTAACTTAAAAAATTCTATTATTATATTTTGAAATCTAATATGAAAAGAGATATAACATCAAATTTTTGATGATAACAATATTTTCTATTATGCAAAATATAGCAGTGTTAATGTAAATAAAAAAATTAGAAGAATTTTTTCAAATTTGATTTTTGTCTCCACTTTCTTCCATAAATACCATGCGTAATGTCATTAAATAAGAAAACGCCGTTGATACATACTAAAATATATAAAATAGTAACATTAGTTTATATTTTCTAGTTTAAAAAAATATTATGAATAGTAATAAAATTTAAACAAAATTAACGTATAATCAACAACATTAAAACCAATATGCTGACGATAAAATTTCTATAACAATTAAAAATTGCATTTTTAAATCCTCGTACATACGTCAAACTATGACAATTTTACTATATGAAAGAAAAATAAAGATAGTACGTTATACATGAAATTTATACATGCAAATATACTAGGCAATATTAATGTCTTACATTTTATTTATACATTTCTTAAACATATATTTTTGAGAAACATAATATTCTTATTATATATATTTAAATAAATATGTTTAGACAAAAACAAAGAAAGAGAAGAGAGTGTCTGTTCAAATCAATCTTATTACAATATTTAATTTGTATAATTAAAATAGCCTATACATCGCAAGAGAGGAAGAGATAGATAGAGAAATCTAAATTTTAATCAATTTTTTAATAATAAATGATTGATATTTTTCTTCAACTAAAAATTTACTAAAAATTTAATTTTTATTAAAATATTTATATTTTACTTATTAGAATTAATATTTTTAGGAAAATATTACAAGAAACATTTATAACATTTTGATTATTTGTAATGTGTAAAATTATACTATAAGATAAAATATTAATCATATAGGTATATAAAAAGAATTTTTTAATTTGTGTGAAATCTTACCGACGCGTAATATTGTAATGATAAAGCTGGAAGGATAGAAATAGAGACAGTTGTTGGTGTTTGACTCCTTAGCAAGATAAAATTTAAATTTTTTTGAAAAATCTTGTTTTGATTATACCACAACGATTCGTAAACTGCTTGCGCAACATTGGTACTCTAACAAATAATTTTTAAATGAACATATTTTAAAATAATGCAGTTATAATAATAGTTATAAACATTTGAAACAAAAATATTCTATATAAATAACACGAAAATCTAACACTCTTTATGATATGGAAAAATAAAACATTTTAATACACAAATATAATATAACGTATTAATTCTTTCAAATTTAACTTTATGTATACCACGTTCATTATACATATATGATATTTTAACGTTTGTATACATATATGTATAATTAAATTATTCCAAAGAAATAATAAAATGCCAATGTGAGCCGACACAAGTTGTTAGTACTTTTATGTGATAAATAAGGTAAATAATACGGAATTCGATAATGCGATACACAGTTATATTGTATTATAATTAGGCCAATTTGATTGTGTGTAAACGGCATTGAAATAAATACAACTTACCGTATCTATTAAATGATCGGCCGGCCAAGCACATGCATAAACTTCCATAAGTGCAGCTATACATAAAGCCATAAATTGTATTTTGTCCGTTAAAGTACATTGCTAGGTATATAATATAATATACTGTTATAATAATGTACTGTTATGAAATACGTCGAATACATATAAACATATTCATATATATATATATATATATATTAGGACCTTGAATAAATTCTCGCTGTTTTTTTCGTGAAAAGTAATGCTTTATTTAAAAAAATAATTTTAAACGTTTAGAAACTGTTGTGTAATCAACTCCTAATGATTCTACAAGTTCAGCTAGCGTCTGATATGAATCTTCATGCAGTAATGCCTCCAATTCTGCTTTATCTTCAACATCAAAATCATTATTTTTGAAGCGTCTAAACCAATCTCTGCATGTTTCCGATAGAGCATGGTTTATACCGTAAGTCTCAACAAGAATTCTGTGTGCTTCAGCTGCAAATTTTCTTTGAATAAAGTAGTGCAATAAAATTCCCCGCAAATACTCTTTTGTTGGCACAAAACTCGACATGTTTAACACTATGAAACAAAAAGTTGTTTACACTTCGGCGAGATGACATACACTGAATTTCAAGCTTGCTTATCGTAGTTTCTTATCGATATGTCTTCAACTACATGCACGCAGTGCAAGTTCTGTTAACACCATATGTTGGAAAACAGCGAGAACTTATTCAAGGTCCTAATATATGTATAAAATCTTTTTTCTTGTAGAATTGTCGTTTTATCGTGAAATAATAATAAAAAGTATTATATTTAAAAAAAACATACTTACGCTTACAATTGTTAGACCACAAGCTAAAATTGCCCACGTACAAATAATCATTATTGTTAATAACACTGAACGAAAGGCAATTACTATTTCTTGGGTGTATCTAAAACGATTTGTTTTCTGAAGTCCACTTTTCGCGATAAAATTTAAGGTAGAATTCTATTTACAATTTTATGCATTGTGTAGTATAGGAAATATGTGAATAATCAGAACTAAAAATTTATAACAAATATTAAATATTTCTATGACCGTAATTTTTTTACCGAAACATTTAACTTTTCGTGAAATGCGACAAAAGTATTAGTGTCCAAATATTTATGAGTGCTAGTGTATATATATTATGTTTTGACAGCTTAATTTTAATCATTAATAAATTTATACATTAATAATCATTTATATATTAATAAATTAACCTTACTATTTGATGAAATCAATTATAATAATTTTCAATTAAAAATTTCACTATTAAAATACATAATTAAAATATATGTGTTTACGTATAATTAAAATTATTTTTTTAAGTATGATGTTATTATAGTTTTACAGAATAATACTACGTAAAATTTTGCTAAATACAAAAAACATAAGGTAATACTTAAGGAATTTAGTTCTTTTGGTAATAATAACATAATTTTACTTTACATGAAAAAAGGAGTAATAGATGGGGTATAGATAGCTTTATACCAAAAATATGTTTTCCTAAGTGCTGAATTACTACCAAAAAAAATACACATAAACTAAAAAAATAATTATTTCTTTATAGTAACGATTATCAATTTTTATAAATGATGAAATGTATTTTTTGTTACCTCAATAATTTTATATGTCGCCGTACACACACGGTGATGTCATAAATATCAGTGGCCATACGAAATTGTTGCGATAGGACTTCGAAACGTGCCGCGGCAAACCATATGAAAAGACCGACAAAATTACCGAGACAAACAATGGAGAAGCACTGCCAAACAGCGATGAACTGATGCACAAAAATAACAGTCTTTATAGGTTCGTGTTCTACGTCGAAAGGATACTTTGCTTCTGTCGGGAACATCTGATCGGTCGCTGTCAGTGGTATGATTACTCCTATACCCGCGCCGAGAAAAACTGCCGCCGTGGAGCTCACGTAAAACATCGCGCATCTATCAACGTACCGTTGGTAGATCTTTTTCTCATATGATTCGGCGCGCTCCAAAGTATGCTCCATTTCCAAAATTAAATACTGAAATTTAATTCGATTTTTCAGCTGGCACGTAGTTTATATATCCAGGCTGTGAATAAATGGATAAGTTGAAGATTGAATTAGGTATATCATGTATATACAATTCTTATGAATATGTAGAGTTGATAAAGTTATTTGCAGAATAATATTTTTATACATTGTTCAACAATATTTGACATTAGAGTAACATATTTAATTCATTAATATCTGTATAGAATTTAATACAGATGGAAAATGGTTTATCGAAGGTCGGTCTCACATATGCGTTTCTTACTTGCAATCGATCATATTGTAGTGCACATTGTGTTATCTCCACGGAGACTTGTATCATTGCACCCAATGTACACCATAGCTTTGTTATCCTTGGTAGATCATAGTCATTACGATAAAGGGTGTACGCTATAGGTACACTCAACGCCACTGTATTCATACAAAGCAAAGAGCGTAAAATTTTGAAGCATGTTATTTGAAATTTACTAGCGCTTTTTGAAAGTGGCCACGAAAAGGACAAAGCGATTATCACTTTTATAAAGGCGATAGCCTTTTTCGGATTTGTTTTTATCGTCATAATTACATCGATAAATTCATCGAAAATGTAATGTACATCAACAATTTTAAAACTTATATTCTTTTACAACGTTTTCTTGCACTTGTCGTATTAAGAGTGTTGGATTATAAACTTTTTTGTCGGTTCTCGTAACGCGTAAATATTTTATGTGTAATAGTATAATAAAATAATATATTTTTCAATGCATGCACAATTCTAAGGAAGAATGATGTACACTGTAATTTACATGTTGCATATTTGCATATTCGATTGTTGTAGGGGTTCGGTGAATGTTTTATGAAAGAAGTTTTATATCAAATGCAATGTGTATATAATATTAAAGGGGGATACAGCAAAATTCTTATATTTATAATAAATTGCTACAATCAATGATAATAAACTACTAAATTTTTAATATGCAATTGCATTGACGGAATCAATAACGTAAATTGTTAGAAGCACGAAGAAGCGTTTACTTTCATGTTGTATATAGTTACATCTCATCATCTCTTGAAGATGTTTATATCGTTAATAAACTTTATTAATATTTCTTATTAAAAAGATTAATTAATTTGTTATTAATTATTGAGAATATCATGGAACTCTAGACGATTGTTCTATTTAGTTTAATTTGTTCTACCTGTCCATGAGAAATAGCACGGTAATCATCATATATTGTATACGTATACACAGAGAGATTTTTCTCTTAGTATTCATTCTGGAAATGGTATTGGTAACATATTTTAAAGAGTTTTATGTGATTCTTTCTGATTTGTTAACGTGTTGCTACAATAAACTGTAAAATACGTTTGATTAATGTTAATAAAAAATATCTTCAATATAATTTTAGAATACGTAAAACAGTTCATGATTTTTTATTGTTTTAAACAGAACAGATGCTAAGTAGTAGTAGTGGTGGTGATTATATAGACTATTTTATATAAATTTTGTAATATAGAATATTTTTAATCTGACTTAGTCGCTTACGATCATAATAATTATACCATACAATATAGTAATTAATTGGTTATGACAAATTACTTCTCAGAAAACAATTTGGATAAATGTGGGATATCTTAATATCACTGTCTTGCAAAAAATCATATACTATTTATATCCATTTTTTGTAAGGATATATTAACCACTTCACTGGCGCGACGCCAGTAAAGGTTTAAGGTTCAGAGAACACGACTATGCTATTAAAAATTTAATTTTGTGAAGTTTTCATTGTTTTTTAGAACTTTGAATATCCACAATTTTCAATACTTTTAGCCGATGGCGTCAAGCGATTACTCAGATATTATACTAGATTTTCGGTTTATTTTCTTTATAGAATCAAATTTATACACCAATGAGTTAAAATAAGTAATTACTATATAATAATTCAACTAATTAATTATTAATAAAATGTAATATTTAATAAATAATGAGAAACACAATTATAATAATATCAGTGTAATAAAATATGTAAAATTACATATTTAAAAAAAAATTGTTATATGTAATTTTACATATTTTTAATTACATAAAAGGTATTAAAAAATTGATTAAAAATATGTAGAGGCCGGAACTCTGCTTATAAATGATTGCAATGCATAGAGCTCTGTGAGAACTAACGAGAATTGCCGTTAAAACTGATAGAAATAGTCAGCACGTCACTTTTTCTAGAAGTTTTATGCCATTTTCTATATATATGTATGTTTAAAAATTGTTAAATGTTGTTATTTTATTTTGAAAATGCATAACTTAGTTGGTTTTTAGTAGAACTATCGGGAACTGTTGCTAAAAGTGCAAATATTAATTTTTTTCTCGTACTTTAGAGGAAATCTGACGTGCCAGATTCGCGTAGTTAGCACGCCATATTTCCAATTTTAGTTTTTTCATATTAAAACTGCGGAACTATTTTTTATTTCTAGGTAGAACTGTAGAACTATAAAAAGTGCTACTGGAACTGTTGTAATTTTTTTGATATCGACAGAATGTCGTGCCAGCTTCACAGATCCTACTATCTAATGCTATTTCATATATTTGCAAAACAAAGTTCGCGCTCGCGCGCATAAGTGTGAGTGTGAGTATGTGTATGTATGTGCGTGTACGTATTTGTGATAATATTTAATCTTAAAACCATGAGAATAGCGCAACTGGTACTCCTCGAAATTAATAACTTCAAATTTATGCCCCATTCTTCTACGATTTAACTTTACCAAATCTTTTGGGAAAATGATAGTGGGCCGTGTTCCCGACACAATCAAATCCACGCACCCTTTGGAAAATTTTAAAAGTTGAAATCGGTCACACAGTGTAACAGGAATATCGCTAATAACAGGAAAGGTATAGTTTGTTATACAATAAAATTAATTTTATGTGAAATTGATTTAAAAAAATGAAAAAGACAATTAATGCAACTAATTTAAGAAACTCTTTTATTTTTATCTATATCAATTAATACTTACTAATGTGTGAGAAGGGTAATGAGAATACTCTAAACTTTTTGTGTTAACAATATTATACTTTTTTTATGCAAAACATAATACTATATATTGATATAAATACTAATTAGAAAAATTCACGGAGATTTAATATTTATTTTTTGACTCCATTGTCCTCCACAAATATTATTCGCAACGTCATTAAATAAGAAAAAGCTGTTGATACATACTAAAATTTATAAAATAGTAATATTAGTTTACATTTTCTGGATTTGAAAGTTATATAAATAATAAAGTATTATATGTATATATATATATATATATATTAGTTTTTGCGCAATCAAGTGCATTTATGTTGATATACTTCCACATTCAAAGATTAAATTTTTTATAATATACTTAAAAAATATATTATATTATATATATAATAATAATACATCTGAGAAAAATTACTACAAGAGGATTGCAGTAAATAATGTTCATTGATTATTGCGTTCGTTTCATAGTAGTATTTATTTTCTTATATAATATTGTTTTGTGAAAACATTTATAAACTTTTTATTGGCATAAAATAGTAAAATTATTATGTAAAAGAAAGAATGAAAATAGTATATTATGTATGTATAAATCTTTATGTATATAAATATACTGAACACACACTATAATATATTCAATTAGCGTATAGATATATATAATTATTAAAAAATATTTTTATCGAAAAATCCAAATGAATTTTAATAAATAATTGATATTATTTTTCCCAACTATAAATACATTAAAAATATAACTTTCATTCTAATAAATATATAATATAATTTTCATTACAATGTGTATGTTCATATTCACTTAGAATTTAATATTTTAGGGTATAATTCAACAAATATAACTTATACCGAAGGCTACGGTTGCCACGATCAAAAGTCGCCTATTAATACGTCTTTTAATTATAAGAACTATAATACAATTGTGATTATCGTAAGAAATCATTATTTTAATGGTTATGACTATTAAGATATGTCCATCTTACGATTACCATAATCAAAAGTATTGAGGGTAAAAATAATTATTACAATTTTTCCGGTTGTGGCAACCGTAACATTTTTTCTGTATAATATTTATAAATGTTTGTGTAGTGTGAAAAATTATATTTTTAAAGTAAAATATTAATTTTACATATAAAAAGAATTTTTTAATTCGTGAAATCTTACCGAAGCGTAATATTGTAATGATAAAGCTGGAAGGATAGAAACAGAGATGGTTGTTGGTATTTGACTCCTTAACAAGATAAAATTTAAATTTTTTCGAAAAATCTTGTCTTGATTATACCACAACGATTCGTAAACTGCTTGCGCAATACTGGTACTCTGTGAGAAATAATACAAAAATTTTTAAATAATATGTGATGGAAATAATAGTTAAAAATATTTAAAACGAAAACAAATGAGATGAAAAATTAACATTTTTTAAATAAAAGGATAAAAACGTTTTAGGTAATTATGCACTTTAGGGGACCCAGCTCCGATGACTTTGACCTTGACATATGTTGTCAAGGTCATAATTCTGAGCAACTTTGCCTTAACATCTTGGTGGTGGACTTTTATAATTTTTGAGATATTCAGGCTCAATAGTCTGGACTATTGTATACTATCAATAGTTAATACTATGCGTATTCAATAGTTCACACTATTCTTTTTAACAGTGGGTTCCGCCCCCCCCCCTGCGGGGGGGCTCCACTATTGTTAAAAATAACCTGACCCAACCCATTTAGTGGTGTGAGATCCCTAAAGTGCATAATTACCAAAACGTAAGAAATTTATTTTATTGAATTGAGCGAAATTGAGGAGAAAGAAATAATTTTATATAATAAATCAAATAAATAATTCGGATACACTTTATGCGATACACACTTATAGTTATCACATGAATTATATTAATTTGATTGTAAACACCATTGGAATACAACTTACCGCATCTATTAAGTAATCGGCTGGCCAAGCACATACATAAACTTCCATGAGTGCGGATATACATAAAGTCAGAAATTGTATTTTGTCTTTTAACGTACTTTGCTAGGTATATGATAATAATATGCCACGATAAATTAAATGTATGTAAATATATTCATATATATAACTTTTTTTCATCACGCGTGCACGTAATGTGCCCTATACCGCAACGCTCTTTTGCGTGCGGGAAATAGCCAATAGAGAGAGAGCTCAAGCCGTTGAGTTATTTCTCTAACCCACTCTTCTGTGCAAAAACGTTGCGGTATAGGGCACATTACGACGAGCACTCGTAATGAAAAGTTCTATGTGTAACGAGTGGGGGTTTATTCGTTTATAGCGCAAAGTGGGCGCACAATAAACAACTAACCTCCACTCGTTACACAATGTACTATTCTTTAATAGAATTATCGTTTTATTATGAGACGATAGTAAATGATATAAGACAAATACTTACGCTTACAATTGTTAGACCGCTAGCTATAATTGCCCATGTACAAATAATAATTATTGATAATATTACTGAACGAAATGCAGTTATTACTTCTTGAGCGTATCTAAAACGATTTGTTTTTTAAAGCTGGAAAAGTTACTATGTATGTTGTTTGTATTTCTATATAGTACTTGTACCTTCTTGTTTTCCTAACATTTTTCTTAATAATAAATTATAAATAGCAATAGTAAAATCATAAATATAATATATAAGTTTTTTTTTTGTTTTTTCTTTAATAATAAAACTTTTAACTCCTTTATTTATTCTCTGTGTACATATTGTGTCTTTATATCTTAAATATAATTTAAAAAATTTTAATTAAAAAAAATTTATCTATAAAAAGGATTTATACATTGCAGATTTTATATATTTTTAAATTAAATAATCTCATTATTTTTAACAGAACTAATTATGAGATTTTCATATTAAAACGTTTATTATTAAATTATTTAAAGTATGTATGTTTTTAAATATAATTTTAGCTCTTAATTTCAGATTTTATGGACGTATTTTTTAAAAGTATATAAATGTGCAAAGCAGTGATAAAATTGGTTCGCAAAATATGAAATGATGTTTAGTAAATTTGTTTTTCTGTGTAAAGCATGACATAATTTTATTTTGCGTGAAAAGCAGAGTAATAGATGGTGTAGATAAAGTTTATATAAAAAATATGTCAAGTGGTGAACCTCTGTTAAAAATACACATCAAATAAAAATAATTATTTCCTTGTTAGTAATTATTATGAATTTTTATAAATGAGGAAATGCATTTTTTTGTTACCTCAGTAATTTTATATGTTGCCGTATACATACAGTGATGCCATAAATGTCGGTGACCATACGAAATTGATGTGATAATATTTCGAAACGTGCCGCGGCAAACCATATAAGAAGAGCGATAAAGACACCGAGGCCAACAATGGAGAAGCATTGCCAAACAGCGATACACTGATGTATAAAGATAATACTCTTCACCGGTTCATGTTCCACATTGAAAGGATACTTTGCATCTGTCGGAAAAATCTGATCGGTTTCTATCAGTGGCATCATCATTGCTATAACTGCACAGAGAAAAACTGCCGCCGTGGAGCTTGCGTAAAATGTTGCACATTTATCAATGTACCGTTGATAAATCTCTTTCTCAAATGATTCCGCGCTTTCGAAAGTATGCTCCATTTCCGAAACCAAATACTGAAATTTAAATTTTGATTATATAATAATTAAATTTTATTTTTTTTAATTAGAAATATGTAATTTATATCTAGGCTATAAATAAATAAGTGAAATCAAAGATTGAATTAGATTACGTCTTTTTAATATAGATATTGATAATAATTTTTGTGAAGTACAATCATACTCAAGAGATAAGCTCAAGATATACGGATGAAAAAAATTATTTGCATAATAGTATAATATATATCAATAATCAGGGAAAGAATTAGCTCATTAATATCTTTATAGGATTGAATAAGGTAAATTGAATACGGTTTCTCTCTTTCTTTCTCTCTCTCTCTCTCTCAGGTCAGTCTGTGTGATATCCGCATATAGTACTATAAACATATATAATTTTCTTACTTGCAATCTGTCATATTGCAGTGCGCATTGTGTTATCTCCAGAGGGATTTGTATAAACGCACCCAATAAACACCATAGTTTCATTATCCTCGGTAGATCAAAGTCATTACGATAAATAGTGTACGCTACAGGCACACTTAATACCACTGCATTCATACAAAGCAAAGAACGTGAAATTTTGAAGCATATTATTTGTAATTTACTAGCATTCTTTGAAAGTGGCCACGAAAAGGACAAAGCAACTATCACTTTTATAAACGTGATAGCAATTTTTGGAGTTATTTTTATCTTCATAATTACATCAACGAATTCATTGAAAATATATTTAAAATCTATATTCGCTCTATATATGATGTTTTCTCGCGTTACTTCGTTTCAAATAAAGTGTTATAAGCTTTTTTCCTTGCTTCATAACTCGTAAATATTTGATGCATAATAGCGTAATCAAATCGTACATTTTCCAATGCATGCACAATACTGTGGAAGACTGAGGTACACTGTAATTTACATGTAGCACAATTGGCATACTCGATTGCTGTAGGGGTGCTGTGAATATAACAGTTTTATGAAAGAAATTTTATATTAAACGGAATGTACATATAGTACTAAAGGAAGGTAAAATAAATTCTCATATTTGTAATAAATTGCTACACATGATGATAATGAACTACTAAATTTTCAATATGCAATTCTCTCTAGGAAACCAAATACCATGAATTATCAGTAGCAGGGAGAGTACTTTCAATACTGTACATATCTCATCGTTTTTTGAAGATGTGTACATCGTTTGTAGATTTTATTATTATTAATGACCTGTAATATACAGAAATTTATTATGTGCTAATTATATAATATAATTTTCCGTTAATTATTGAAAAAAGTGTAAAGCTGCATGAGATTCTTCTATTCATTTAACTTACTATAGCTACCCACCTGAGGTAATTATCAAATAATTTGTATAGTAATATATGCATATATGCATTACGATAATATTATTATTATAATTAATATTATTATTGTAATTACTATAATTACAAAAACACACAAGCATTAGCATCTTTGTATTAGAATTTGTTACTTAATATATTAAAAGTTTTTAATAATATATATATATAATTAATAACTACAATTTAAAATTGGTTTTTTAGCATTCTTTAACAAGGGACGATTTTCACCTCAAAAAAGTGTAAATAAAAGAAATTGTGTTTTTTGCAGATTTTGATCTGCTGAATACGATAAAGTTATTAAACAGTTTGTAGAGCATTTGGGGAATATCCTAAAAAGTGAGCAAAAACATTGCTAAATACACCATGTTTTTGTTCAATTTTCGAGATATTCCTTAAATATGTTAGTATAGCTTTTATATTATCGTGCGCATATCCAGAAAAAGTAAAATCTACATACAAAATTATTTTTTTACTTATACCTTTGTACAATAACTAACCATTTTTAACTTTCTCTTTTGTCTTGATATTAAACAAAAACAAAGAAGATGATATGTATCTCTTTGTTTTTGTCTTGATTTTTGTTACTGGTAAGCCTTGTAACAGCAGTCTTGTTGGTAACCAATTGCAAACTACTATTGTCGATTGTTTCATATTTATATTCCGATTGTACCATATTTTACTTTATGTAGTCTTTTTAGTGCTTTCTAATAAAGTTAAATTAATTTAAATTAAATTTGGGAAAACCCCATTTGCCTACAAATCGATTGCCTACATGTTCTATTGCCTACATGTATTTTTGCCTACATCCTGATTGTCTACAGTTCGATTGCGTACATGTTGAGGCGGCTGTGCTGCCCCGAACTCAAGCGTTACTGTCTACACACTCCACTGTTTATATGGGTTATGATTTATTTTGAATAATTACCAAAATAAATGTAAACAAAAGTAAATAAGGCAATAGAGCTGTAGGCAATAGAACATGTAGGTAATTAAACTGTAGGCAAATGAGATGTAGGCAAAAATACATGTAGGCAATCGATTTGTAGGCAAACGGAGCCCCTTCATTTAATTTATTGTTATCTCTAAATCAAATAACATCATTATATTTTTAGTCCTATATAACAAAGTATAGAATCTACTCTTTTATGCAAATATTAATTATCAAAGTGGTTACGATTACATTATGTTTACATTCAATTATAATCGTCTTCCATCACTACTCGTAGTGCTGTGAAATATGAGAGTATTGTCGAGCAGTACTGAAACATGTAAAAATATATATAATTGTTTGTTTTTGTATTAAAAGAAGTAAAATGTTGATAGTACTTGTACATCAAAAAATATATTTATGCCCCATTACTGTCTATAAATTTTAAAACAATAATTATCTTTTAAATATTTTTCTTTTTCTGCCATTTTGTATAAACATTTTAATGTTTTGCTGTTTGTTAATAATATCTCATTTTATACATCAATGATTACAATTGTTCAAAAAATAATTTTGTTAGGAAATCTACAATTAAAGCAAAATGTTTTTTATTCTTAATTTTTTCTTATTCTATTATAATTTGACATTTTTATGCTTTCTATCCATTTTACATTTACATGGCTATTTTAAATGTATATGAAATGAAAAAGCAAGTAATGTATAATGAAATGATCATAAAAATGTGAAATCGTATTAAAAAAATGCAAGGAGAAATGTTGCGAAGAAGTAAGAAAATACGTGTGAAGTAAAGAATATGTGGATTTTACTGTAATTTTTTATTATGTTTCTATGTACAATTATTTATCATTTCAAAATTTTATATATAACTATAACTAAAAATGCAAATTAATTAAAATTTTTATTTAGCTCTTTTTCTTTCCCATGCATATATTATATTGATAAACGTATCGAAAAAATAGAAAATTAACAAGTTTTTAATAAATTTCAGATTGCTCAAATAAATCATTTTAACAACAGTAACGAGTATAATTTTACACTGATTTAAAAAAAAAGTATAGCATATAACTGGCTCTTAGCTCTTAAACTTATTATATTAATTTTATTCATATTATAGAGTCTTATTACTAATTATTATTATTATTATAGTATTTTTCTTTAAATATGTTGCGTGTGTGGTGGGTGCTCACGTACACTTAATACATTGATAAAAATTCTATTTTAAGAAATTGTATAAAATATTAGTAATAATTAAAATGAAAATGATGCGAAGAGAATTTTCAACGAGAATTATAATAGTTAATTTAAAATTTAATCTCTCACCGTTGTAAAATAATTGAAAGATAATGCGGGCATAAGGCAGGGTATTGAAACGATTATCGGCTTTTGACTCCTCATTATAATAATTTGCAGACATTTCGTTATTTTAATTGATTGATCGCATTTGAATACATTGTACGCTGCCTCTGCGACATTTTGGCTCTATGAAAAATAATATATCATTTGTTAAAATTATTTGTAACATAATAATTTTTAATAAATATAATTTACCGTTGATTTTAAGTGTTCTCCTGGCCAGACAAATATAAACACCTCTATTAAGGCTGCTAAACCTAATCCCAAAAAGTGTACTAATACCGGTATAGATTGATGCTATTAAAAGAAATTGATGTACATGTAATTTCCATGTTACGTCGTGTTAATGTATTTACACTAAAATTCTTTAATATAATTAAAATTACTTCTACATTACATAAAAGAATTGAGGATCTAATAATACAATGATACAGATATATTACATACACAACTACAACTTCCTCTTTTTGGTTTTTCATATTTATTTAATGATCGTTATACATATTTAGATGTAAGAGTTATACGTAAAATGAGTGTAAAATATATAAGTACGAATATTAGATTTTCACAATTACATGTACTTACGGTGATGAACACGAGGAAGATAAGTATTTCGACAATCGTACTGCAACATACAGTTGAGAGTACGAAAGGACGAGCACAAATAGTAACTTTTGTAGCATACCTAAATGTATTACGCAACAAAATTGATATAATATGTATTTTTTTAACTAGGTCATTTTCGTGTAAGATAAGAGTTACATATTTACTTAATTAATTCTTGATGTTTTTTAATACATTGGAACAACGAATAGAAATTTGTAACTTTCTTCAGCTCTTCATTCAGTACCTCCAATCTCGCTGATGTAAACCACAGCAATAGAGTCATAAAAACATTCGTGCATAGTTGTCCTGTTATTATTAGTCCAGTATAAGATTGCTGTACGTAGATTATTGCTTTTAACGGTTGATAAGACACATCAAATGGATATTCGGCTAATGTTGGAAATTGTTGATTCATCATAGTAGGTAACACTGTCATTGTTGCAAGAGTGACAAAATAGAACATAAATACAAATATACCATAAAATATAACACACTTGTCAATATATCGTTGAATAACAGCTTCTTCATGTGGTTTCATTATCTCGCAAAAATATATCATTTCATAAGTAACATTCTGCAAATTATATTCTTATTGATAGAGAACACAATTTTAAGATATGATTTCTTAACTAACTTATATCTGAAATTTTTAATATTAAATGAATAAATATTAATTACTTGTATATGATGATAATTAATATGATACAAGATAAAGTTATAACCAATATGAAAGCTGCCACTTGTTAGAACTAATAGTTGTGCTAGAATGATAGGTTCGTCAAGATGATTTGAAACGCCATATAGTAATGCTGCCCCGAAACATGTTGCCATAATAAGACACCAACAGTGATATAATTTCATGCAAGACACTTTAAATCTTGTCGCACTTTTTGGCAACGGCCAACACCAAACTGGGAGCACACATAACTTTGTAACGAAGATTACTTCTTTCAGCGTTACCCTTCTTCGCATGACTGCAGTCTGCTATGTATGTTATAAGCGTATTACAAATTTAGATATTGTGGGAAGCGAAAACTCCTTTACCAGTCGGTACATATAATTTACTGAGTGCTCCAGGGATTTGCAACATTATTACGAAGCAGGGAAATATAGCCGAGGGGGATTAACACAAATATATTATTTATAGTCTTCGTATAACGCATATATCTGTTTAGCATGAGGGGAATGCCCTAATAAAATTATTATGAAGTATATAATGCGTGAAATAGATAGTGTTTTCTACTTAAAATCAAAAGGAATCATTTTCTATTGCTGTGTCTGCAATAAGAGTTCACAAAATATGCATGTAAAGTAAAAAATGGATCAACGCTTCCCTATGATATCTTGGAGTGTATGTCTGTACATCTTAGATATCGTAGAGAAACTATATACTTATTTTAATTTGTCTATTATTTTACATATATCTTATTTACTATTAC